AAAAGAGAACGTTCTGCCTCATCCCGGAGGTGGCGCTGGGGAGCCCAGCTCTAGCATTTCTACTTTTGAGCTGCGTGTTTTGGTATCTTACGCAGAAAACAGAGGCTGGGCCGGACCTCCCAAGACGGTCATGTGGAAGCAGTGAGTCTTCACAGTGGTCAGAAGGGGAGGCTCACCCCGCTTGCATTTGCGTCTTGGAATCCCCCTAGACTTCACCCCATTCAGGTTATCTTGAGACTTGAGTCTTGTGTGTCTGTTCAGACAAGAAAGTTCTAGACATCAATTTAGGTGTCTAGCAAGTGTTGGCTGGCAAAGAACTTTTTTTGAATTTCTCTGTGTTAAATATTTAGCCAATGTTTGTTAGTGTTTCCATTCTGTCTAGATACTTTTTGGTAAGCACTTTGGCCAACATAACTAACTTACTAATCTCTCTCCCTCCCTCCTTCCTTCTTTTCTTTTCTTTTCTTTTCTTTTCTTTTCTTTTCTTTTCTTTTCTTTTCTTTTCTTTTCTTTTCTTTTCTTTTCTTTCTAATATTTATTTTTGAGAAAGTAAGAGAAGGGAGAGACAGAGAGAGGGCAGACAGAGGATCCAAAGCGGGCTCTGTGCTGATAGCAGCGAGCCTGATGTGAGACTTGAACTCACGAACCGCAAGATCATGACCTGGGCCAAAGTCAGATGCTCAACCGACTGAGCCACCCAGGTGCCTCTGGCCAACGTAACTTTAGATAGCTGGTTAGTCAACTTTTAAAAATTAAAAGTAATCTTTCCAGTTGAATTAATTGAGGGAGATGCACATTTATTTTCCAGGTCCCTTTCAATGCAGTTGCTCTCCGAATCACTCACGCTGACGTCGCTCCTACCCATATATTGTATGCTGTGAACGCCAGCTGGGTTGGTCTTTGCAAGATCCTAGATGATGTTAGAGGGTACGCAAATGGACCAATCCTGCTCGCCCAGACTCCAATCTGTGATTGTTTGGGATTTGGTGAGTGAGAGTAAACCGTGTCTGTATATCAACTGAAATTGATCCCCTTCTCCGCCTGTAGATGGCTGGTCTTGACCTTGTATCAGTCTCCCAGCTGGAGTGATCAGAGAGTGTCTCTGGCTTCTATACAGTGGGCCTGGGGGCTGGTGGGCAGGAAGGAAGCAGCATTTTCTCTGCTTCTCCTGCCAGCTCTACATCTAAGATTCTTGAGGGCCCGGTCATGACCTTCTTCTCACTTGACACATTTTCCCTAGGCCACCTGTCCCCATGCTGGGACCCTAGATCTACCTTTAGGCTGATCTCACTGGATCTCTGTAGCCTGACTGCGTGTCTGAGTTCCAAGCCCACGTTAGCAGTGTGTGTCTTCACTTGGGTATCTCACTGGCATCTGAGTCCTAGGTCCATGACTGAGGTCCTAATGTTCTCCCCAGAACCCCTCCCATCCGGCATCCTCTCCTGTTCCCAGGCCTGTGAAGAATCCTTGGAAGATTCACCCTGCCCTGGGTCCACCTGCCCTGGGTCCACCTCTGCTCACCACATTCAACCTGCTAGCAGGTTTTGGTAGCTCGTTTCCCAGGGACGTCTGATTCCTCCGTCCGTCTCATTTCTTCTTACTCTGCCAAGAGTCTGGGCCACCGTTTCCGTGCCGGACTTCACGGTCGGGTGGTCTGAGGACAGACATGATCATGTCACATCCTGGTGGTCCCCATCACATGGGCCCAGGACCATTGGCCTCGTACTGCTTCGGGGCCCTTCCTCCTTCGCCAGGCCTACCTCATGTGATTGTCCCCCTGGCTCACTGAGGTCAATACATGTCAGGGTATGATTCTAGAAGGGTGCTGGACTTCTGTAACCCGAAATTAGCAAAACCCTTAAATAATCACAAATTTTTGCTTCATATACTACTGCTCCGCAGAAGTGTTTCCACAGAAACTGTGTCACCTGGTACCGACCCTGAAGGAGGAATTGGTGATGGAGAAAGATTGTGTCGTCTGTCTGTTCCTCATGGTGGCTTTTCTCCCTCTGGTCTGTGTGCACCTTATTGAAGACAGTCCGGGACTCTGGCATATGGACCACTTTGGTTCCTCACAGCTAAACAAGGAGAAGGGGACTAAGAGGCGTCAGATACTCCTGTCTCTTGGAACTTTGTATTTTCAAAGCAAAACACGGTTGAGATGGAAATTAATTTTATTTTTTTTTATTAAAAAATAATTTTTTTTAATGTTTATTTTTGAGGGAGAAACAGAACATGAGCGGGGGAGGGGCAGAGAGAGGGAGACACAGACTCTGAGGCAAGATCCAGGTTCTGAGCTGTCAGCACAGAGCCCGACGTGGGGCTCGAACCCACGAACTGTGAGATCATGACCTGAGGTCAGATGCTCAACCGATTGAGCCACCCAGGCCCCCCTGAAATTCTGATTTTAAAAGCCATTCTTTGATTCTCAGTGGTAGGGAGATTTAATATTTTCCAGAAAGGATATCTTAGTGTTTTGTGTGTCTTCAAGGAATTTGTAGAGGGATCGACATGGAGAAGCGGCTGTACCACATCCTCACTCCTGTGCCCCCAGAAGAGCTAAGAAATGTGAATTGCCTATTGGTCGGAGCCATTTCCATTCCGCAGTGTGTCTTCAAGAGCCAGGTGAGCACTCACACTCCCAGGGGCAGCCCTGGAAGTTGCTGGTCGTGTCCATGGCGAAGAGAGTCACGGAAACACGTTATTGTGTGGGAAACTCACACTTGGTTGTAGAAGCTGGATGAGGCAGATAGAGTGTCAGGGTGGCCTCATGGTCCAAGACCATGAATTGCTGCCATTTGTGGTCAGGGGTCCAGTGGTAGAGCCATCATCCCAGGAGGAGCTTATGGGAAAAGAGAGCAGAGGTGATCTCGCCAGGATTACCCCGTCCTGAGGACAGTCTTTGGGCACATTGATGGGAAAGTCATGTTGGCCCAGGACATCTGTGTGGTGGCCTGAAAGCCAGACTGCAAGGCCTTCTGGCGGCCTGGGGAGGCCATGGACGTCCCACCCCTCCTAGCTGCTTGTCCTAACTTGTGTGAGAGAGAAACACACCCACACCCACTTACTCTCGGTTAATGTGTTTGTGGAGTTGAATTGGACAGAAAGAAGACAGTGACCTTTGTGACTGGGCCAGTTGCATCAAGTGAGCTGTCTGGGGGGAGGGGGACCAGAGGCCTTAGGAGTGTGAGGGCCTTTCTCAGACTCTCACTTTCAACAGTGTTTTCTGGGGAAGAAAAGAAACACTACAAACTCTGACTGGCAGGACTTGGGACTTTCCCTCATCCTCCTTGTGTTTGTTTCTGTTTCAGCGTGGGCTTGAAGGGACAATACCTTACGTCACAACAGATTATAATTCTAAACTTCCTGGAGCATCAGAGAAAATTGGAGCAAGAGAAACCGAGGAGACACGTGAAGAGAAAGTACACCCAAAACCTAAGCTCTATCGAAAAATAAACTGATTCTGATGTGGTCCATAGGGGCAGGAGCTTTTCTACCAGAAAACTCGTCTCGGTCTGCAGCCTGACGTCAGACTGACGGCGATGGTGGGAATTGTGCAGTGATGCAGCAAGCAGAGCTCCCTGGGTAACTCGTGGATCTGTTGAGAGTAAATTTAACTCTTTTTTTTTTTTTCCTTATGTTTTTCTTATTTATTTTTGAGACAGAGCGTGAGCTGGGGAGGGGCAAAGAGAGAGGAAGACACAGAATCAGAAGCAGGCTCCAGGCTCCCAGCTGTCAGCACAGAGCCTGATCTGGGGCTCGAACTCGCAAACCGTGAGGTCATGACCTGAGCCAAAGTCAGACACCCAACCAACTGAGCCACCCGGGCACCTCTAAATTTAACTCTTTTCCAAGCTACGTGATCTAGAGTTCTGCCCTAGTGTACTGTATGGTTCATCGTACTTTTTTATTTTCTAAAGGGTTAAAGCAACAGGAAAAAGTTTGGACATCATTAGAACAAAAAGAATACAGTTGATGCCTCAAAAAACTCTTTAACGTCCTGGTTTTGGGAATCTGAATAAAAATAGGGAAACTGGGGCCACAGAAATCTACCAAAGAGGAAGGAAGGCCGGCCAGCGGGGTCGCAAGCAATACAGGATGTGGGGGCTCCCCTCGTCCTCAAGCAGCGATGGCAGACGGGCAGGAGGTCCAGCAGTGGGATCCACTTGTGGACGGTCCGGGCCAGGCGGTCGTTCTCATCCCATCATTTGGTGCTGTCCGTGTTCTCTTCCATTCCTGTGGCCTGGTGTGTCCGGTGTTAAAAGATCATGTTTGGTCTGCTCAATTTAATCAAGGCTTAATAGTTAACAAAGTTTAGACTCAAAAACCCTTTGTATTTTGGGGGTTTTTTTGTTTTATCTGATGACTGTAAGCTGAAAAAGTTGTTTTGAAATCCAGGAAACCTTTCCTGTGGCCTCTTTACAACTCTCTCTGTCCTAACTGACTTCTCATCTGAGGTTGAAGACCCACTGTGCACAGAGCTGCACACCCGGCCGTTGGAAGGACGGACAGGGCACCTGTGGGAAGCCCCGCCTTGCCTTTGACAGCTGGACCTGAACTCGTATATAAGGACGGACAACTCTGTGTCACGAGCGCTTTCTCCTAGGGGCACTGAAGGCCGGCGATGACGCCATTCTCCCAGATGGCTTTGGGGAAGATGATGGGAATCCATCCTTTGCTTTCTTCCCGGTTATCCCAGTTCCTGATCCCCCAGGGTGGGAAGTGGTTTCAGTAAACAAGGGTGTCAGGTGGGATCATGTCATTTGTGCACTTAGATCAGTGAGAATCTGATGGAGGTAGCATTTCAAAGCAGTCTTGTGAATTCCAGCTTCCTACGGCTCGTGTGGAAGGCTGGTCATTCCGATGTGAGTTTTAACATCTGTGTTCATCTGTGTTCATTGGTTATCACCATCCTGGTGGCCCCTCGCATCTCGGAGACCCGCACTCACAAATTCTCACTGGAACTCCGCCACCCTCCAGGATTGGTTTTGATTCCCTAGACTGTTTAAGGTCTAACTTAGTTGCCTCTTATTTGATTCTAAATTTACCTTGTGTGTGTTTTTCTGTCTTGGCCTTGCCAAGAATTTTAACAGTCTGCCATCATCAGCTTTCTGCCTCCCTCCCTACTTCCTTGTGTCTTCACGGTGGTCCCCACTGTAGGTCATTGGCAGCAGGTGTCCAGAGGAAGGAAAGTGGTGCCCTGGCACTTGAGTTTTCATTCCATCTAGGCCTGCCTTTGGCCCGATTTCCCTTCTGCTCTTCAGGGCTGTCCACGAATGACGTAAACAAGCGTTGCCGCTAGAGGGAGCTGCCAGCCACCGGTCAGATGGCCATTGGGCTAGCACGGGCCCAGGAACCTGCCTGGGACATTCTGGAGGCTGAGACCCTGGGGACTTGGCTCTCTGGCCAGCTCAGTGGGCCTGCTCAGACTGGCAGTGGTGCCATCCGCCCCGGATGTCAGTCCCTTTGTCAGTGTCAGCAGTATGGTAGAAAGTTCTATACTCGAGTTATTCTCAACAAAAACTCCGTGTGTGTGTGTGTGTGTGTGTGTGTGTGTGTGTGTATGATTCCATGCTTATTTAAGAAAAAGAAATAATGTGACTCAGAACTTGAAACCCCTAGTTGCTCCTTTTGTGGTTGTTTTAATGAGATTCCTCTACAGGAAAGATAGATGTGAAAATAGATAACAAGATTCTTGGATCCTGGGGTTTTATTTTGTAAACAAAGTTCAGCTCCCAGCTGTCCTCTGTTAGGCCTGGGGGCGGAAGCGGTGACCCCCCCGGAGAGCTGGCCATGGAAACGAGGTCTGAGAAAGGGGAGAGGGCCAGTTGAGCTGGCCCTTCAGGTGCCTTGAACGTTTGCGAAATCGGTCTGGAAGAGACCTGCGGGGGTGGGGGTCCCTGGGCTGGGTGGACGGAGCCCAGCCCTCTGCTGGGACCCCTGTGACAGGTGGCTGCTTACCTGCTGGATTTGGGTTTCTGCCCAGCCGCGTGAGCACCAGAGGACACGGGAGCAGGTTCCTTCCGTTGTGCCAGATGGTGATTTTTTTTGTTTTTAATTGTCCGATTGCTAGCTTCCTTCCTTAGGCTTCGATGTGGCCGTATAGTGGGTAAGGCGGCAGGCTTTGATGTCCGAGCTGAGTTGGAATCCCAAGGGGCCACGGGCCAGCCAAGGAACTTTGCAAGAGATATTTGACCTCAGCCTGTTTACTTCTGAGATGGGTTGGTGGCTGTTCCCTCGAGTGCCTGTGCGTGGGGTGCATGAGACTTGTGTATACGTGGCGGGGCAGTGTAGACGGGGACCAAGATCGTGTTCCTTACTGTCACATTGGGTCGAAGAAACTAAATGTTTAAATCCACAGCTGTCTTCCCTTTCTAGCCAAGTGTACTGTTGTCACAACCAGGGGCGTGGGTTCCATACCCTCCACTGAGTCCCCATTCCTAGAAGTTTTTCATAGACTTCCACTGAACTGCTTTTCAAGTTGTATGAACACGTCACACATGTGGAACGTGGCTTTAGCCACACCACGTGGGTGATCACTGTCTCGTCTGGTGTTTTTCTAAACGGAACGTGTGTTCTACAGAATTGGGGGTCCTGCCATATGTATGGTGTTCTATGCAGCTCTTTTCAGTTAACACGTGAACTTCTGTATCATTAAAGATTTTTGAGAACATGAGTTTAATTGTGTACTTTTATTACGTATGCACAGATAGACCATTTTACTCCAGGGAGTTATTTGAACGCAGGAGACGTTGTGACGAACACTGGGGAGAATAAAGCATTGGGACGTGGGATCTGGATGCCAGAGCAGGGAAGACAGGAAATCCTAGCAGATGCCGGTGCCCTTTTCCGGCACAATATTGAGTGCAGTGGGAGTTTTAAGTTTTGTTTGGGCCCGAGGATGTAAGTTAAGAGAAAACGCTATGTCCTTTCCGCCCCATCTCCGAGAGTGTGTTGCTGCCGGAGAGGTTCGAATTAAAGAGGAAAACCAGCCTGGGGTCTGTGCCTGAGCTCAGTGATGCGAGCCCAGCAACTCCCAACTCTGTCCTCGCTGTCCCCACGCTGGCCTGGCGGAGGGGAGGAGCCTGGGCCGACCAGCGGAGCCCGAACCAGGGAGCCAACTGCTGTAAGGGGGAAGGAGTCCTTTTCTGAAAGGCTTTGCCCGGGAAAATGGGGCAGGGGGTAGCTGCGGGCAGTCAGCAAGACCCACTTGGAGGCGAGGGGCGCCAGGTCCGATCTGGGAATGCCGGGAGCTGAGGAAGCAAAGTCTTGGGAGTCAGCAGATAGAGCTGAGCCGGCAGACAATGTGTTGGGCTGGGAAGCCAAGGGTTGCCATGGCGACGGGCCCTGATGCCACTGTGGCGCTCATCGGACCACGGTGTGGGTTTTCCCGAGGCTTTGGAAGGCGTCTGAGCTGTGAACGTCTGTCAGGCGGGGAGAGGCCACCAAACAGAACTTCCTTTCGAGGAGGCCGGCCAGCTGCTGGCTGTTGGGATTGCAGAGATGAGGGTCTTCGTGGAGTTGCTCTCCAGGAAAGGAGGGAGGCACCCGCCGAGGCAGCCGGCACCGCGAGAGCCCTTTTCCAGGGAGCAGATGTGTACTTGGGAATGGGAAGGGAGAAAACCAGCAAGGAGTCGGTGTGAACCATGGCCACAAAGTCCATACCATCAAAATATGCAGCACCCAGGGGGCCTGTGTCCAAGGGGAAGCAGGTTGGCGGGGCTGAAAGCTCTGGTTTTCTGTGCAGATGATTCAGTTGGACAGATTCAGCCTGGGGCTGAGTCTGGGAGAAGCCCTCTGCTGTTGGGTCTAGGTGGGCAGAGACGTGTGTGTGTGTGTGTGTGTGTGTGTGTGCGCGCGCGCGCGCGCGTGTCTGACACGTGGCTCGAGGGCCAGGCAAGGTGCCACCAGAGGGCAAGTGTGAATCCAGTCCTGCCAGAACGTGGGTTCTGGCTCAGCCTCCGCCCAGGAAGTGGTGAGTGTTTTCTGCCTCTTCGTCCAACAAGGAGGGTTGACGACCCAGAGCAAGAAGAGGAGGCTTTGAGGCTTTGCGGGTCTCAGAGGGGCCACCACCCCACACTTGCGGAATTAGTCTGAGCCCTGGAAGAAGCTCTCGGGGCTGGGCACTTCTGTCCTTGTTAATTGGTGAGATGATGAACTGAGAACATGGAAGGCAGGGGTTGTCTAGCCAGTTTTAGCCGCCAGCTTTGATTTATGGCTGCAGGTAACGTCCTGTCTTCTGAGAAGGCGGGAAGGGGAGAGGCTTTCTGTCTCAGCCATCCAACTCCTGGCAGGGCGCCTGGGTGGCTCAGTCGGTCAAGCATCCGACTTTGGCTCAGGTCGTGATCTCATGGTTCGTGGGTTTGAGACCCCCGTCTGGCTCTGTGCTGACAGCTCAGAGCCTGGAGCCTGCTTCGGATTCTGTGCCTCCCTCCCTCTCTCTCTCTTTCTGCCCCTCCCC